TTCTTTGGGTTCGACTGACAACAACCGCACAAAGTTTTTGGCTTACTTTCTTTCAATCTTTCAGTCATTCAGTCTATTCGGCTGCCATTCCGAGCACACTTTAAGCAAACTATTGAGGCAAGTGGAGAGCAGTTGGAACTCTCATCTCTTCTCATTTTTTATTCAAATTGGATATTGTCTCTGCTTTTCTTCTACTTCTTCTTTTTTCTAGTTGGTCTCTGTTTTGTTTGGGTCGCGTTTGTTTATTTTTACGATAAATATCATGAATGTCGCTTGGCTTTTGTGCCGGGCTTTTGCTTATTATCGATTCTAGACCGAGGGCAAATTGGTTTGGCCAAACGCAAACGCAAAGCAAAGTCGAGAAAGCGAATATATAATTAAAAATAATTGGATGACATTGAATTTCAGCGAACGAGAGAACGAGCGAGCGAACAAGATCGAGAGCAAGACCCAAAGTCAGTTCCTGTTGTCTTTAAAATTTAATTACCAAAGTATTTCCGACTGACAGGCGCTGCAGGCGGCCGGAAATTCGAGCGTCAACTGCAAAATGGAATAGAAATAAACAACGTGGCGAAAACTAAAACGAAATTACTTCAAAGTGCCGCGCATATTGTTCGGCTTCACTTTCTGCGCGAAGCCACTAAGTCCACCCAAACCACCCAATCGCCCCACCACCAGGACGAACGGAAGAGTTGCCATTTTCATTTTCTTTTGCGGCTCGCCATATTCTGCTTTTATTTTCTTATTATTTTTTATTTATTTTATAAATATATATTTTCATTTTTATTTTAATTTTTTTCTGCCCCAGCTCATAATTTGCATGGCATAGAAACTTGACTTTTGTTGCCCGGCTAGAAGAGCAGCTGGAGGCGTGGCCTGGTGGAAATATGTTGCAGCAGCAACAGCAGCCAGTGTTGAAAATATAATAGAAAAATAAGGTGCCACACAATATGGCCGAGAGCTTTACAGTTGGTTAAGTAGCAAAAGCGCGCGAAAGGCGAAAGGACGCAAAATGCGAGCAAGCCAGGCGGATAAAGTGCCACCAAAACCAGCCAACGGCACGCAGTAGCAGCAGCAGCAGGAGGAGCAGGAGCAGCAGGAGCAGCACAACGTCGACGGCGAGGTGCCGGCGGCCGAGCATGGCGTGAAAATTGTTGTGACAAGAAAATTATAAACCGGAAAATGTTTTATGTTGTGGCCATGGCGATTTTTACTCCTTGAGCATGGGTGACCGAACGACTCAGTCCTTTCGCACTCCTGTATGTGTGTGTGTGTGTGCCACTTTCAGCTGGCTCATTGTGGTCAAATTAAATTGAGAGGAAATTAACACTGAAACGATGCCAATTTGTGAAAGGGTCAACTTTTTATAAGCGACAAAATGCTATAAGTATTTCAAGCCGGATAAATAATCAAATATGATCAAACGAGCTTTAATTAGACCAAAATATATTTTCATAATTATATATTCAATTACATTCCAAGTAACTCACTCATGCATTAGAACGATCCAATGCCATTGACCCAGTTGTCGTCTTATATATTTTATTGAAAGGAACTTTGCTTGAGCTCAGTTTAGTTTTCCCCTTCAATTAATCCTGTCAGGCAGCAGCGCAAGCGAATGCCATTAGAAAAGTCTACAATGCGGCAACTTAACTATAAATTAGTGCCGTGGCCACATGGAAAATGTTGTCACACCCACACACACACACATACATATATTCATCCAGGTAGGCCTCTTGTCCTTAAACTGGCTGGCAGCCATTATATGCTGGTTACTTGCACGTTTAAGTTCGTTACACATTTAAACTCATCATGCCGCATGCCTCTCCCGTTTTGTGTGTCAAGCACACACACACACACACACACATGCACACCACACCCTGGGGGAAAAAAGAGGTGAAAATGAGTACAAACACACTCAGCTACAATTACAACACACTCAAAAGCCTGGCACAAAAAAAAACAGTAAGGGAAAGCAAGGGAAAATAAGAGAAGAAAACTCTTGTGCTCTCGTGTCATGCGGCTGGGCAGAAAAACTCGCTCAGCGAACCAAATTGCTCGGCAACTTTACTGCATAGTTAATTAATAGGATAACACAATTAATTTGTGGGCAATGAATGTCTGAGCTTTATTTGCCAGCTGCCTAGCGGGCGCAAGCTGAAGCCCCATGGGGCAAGCGGACAACTTCGTCATATACAAATATATATATATATGTATATATATGTAGAGGCCCTACTGTATATGTATCTGTGTGTCCTTTCGCTTTCGCATTTTGAGCTCGCAGCTGTTACAGGCAGAAAGCTAACTCATTTGCTACTTCTTCTTCTTCTTCTTTTCGTTTGGTATGAGCATCAGCAGTAGCTTATCACTCGACCCAGCTGTGACCTGGGAGAAAAGGTTTAAGAGATTTCAAGGCTAGGCAGCGTAAATTTTTTAAACATATTATAATAGAGCTATACGCCGAAATATTCTTTGAGATAAATGTTAGTAAAACTGAAAGGCAAAGTAGATTGAAGTATATAAGGGAGATTCTGATATATAAATTTATATATATTAAAAAAAAAAAAAAAAATCTTAAATGATTGAATATGAGCAGATAAAAGTCTTTTGGTATCAGACTTTTATATAAAGAAAATCGCTAATGATCTGAGGAACCCATAGAATGCGAAATCTGTAATCTATTTATTCTCTTTCAGTCGTTACATAAAATTTATATTCAGAAAAACTTTCAATAGAAACCATCGAAAACTACTTACTTATAGTTATAGTACATTTCGCACTGAATATATATTTGAATATATATTTTTTTAAAGTTAAGAACAATGCAGAATAATACTGTAAAATAATTCAGCATCATAATTTTCAAGTAGTCGGAAATGCTTCTATTAAAGCGTAAAGCGTTCATCAAAACAAACAGCCATAAAAAGGCAGAGACGGAAGCAAGGACAGGGACGAACTTCGCGTTTTTTTTTCTCAGCCTCAACTGTGGCAGTGGCTCAATTAAGGACGCTGCGCGTGAGGACAGGCGTGAAAAGTACAAAAACAAAAGCGCAACAACAACAACAACAGCAACAACAACAAGAACCAAGAGCTACTTACAAACATCAGTTTTAACTATTGTTTGCACACTCAGGCGTGGCCTAGACGAGAGCGGGTGTGTGTGTGTGGGTGTTGGGGCACGGAACGGAGGGGCGTGCCAGGGGTCTGGCTAACTTTAAGGCTCCACTCCACGCTTTGGGGTTTTGTTAAAATAACAAAAGCGGCCGCCACAGCCGTTAGCCAAACAAGTGGCAAATGGCTGACGCCCGAAAAGGCGACTACGAACATTTTCCCAAAAATACAACAACAACAACAACAGCAGCAACAGCAAGAAAACGTAATTTTTTATGCTGTCACAAATTTGACGATGACGATGATGATGATAAAAATGCTAATGATGATCATTATAATGCCGATGATGAGGTTCGAGGCGGCATTTTGTCAGCATTAAGCAAGTACTATATATAAAATACTTTACTTTATGCTGCCATTTTATATAGTTGCTGTTGCTGTTGTTGTTGTTGTTTGTGTTGCCAACATTGTTGTCACAAACACACACAGATAACAGAGGCAGAGCGAAAGAGAGAGAGAGAGTGAGAGACTGAGTGCAAGCGAGAGAGCTTAATAAAGCAAACAACAACAAACCGGGCAACTTAATTTTTTCCGCATAGCCCACGACATTGTCAAGGTATTGTCGCCCTTTTGTTTTTCCGCCGCTGTGTAACTGTTGTTGTCGTGGACGTCCAGCTGAGCGAAAAAAGTGCTGAAAAATGCCGAAAAAAATACACAAAAAAAAAAAAAAAGAGAGTAAGGAACAAACTTTTGCCGCTTTGACGCTTTTGTTTTGGTGCGTTTGCTTTTCCAATCTTTTTCACAGCTAATTTTTCGCGTTTCAGCGGCGAAAATTCAATATTGTTCAACAGAAAAAAAAAAATAAAGGAAAGGAAAGGTGGCTAACAAAAAAAGGATGCCGGCAAATACGCTTTGATTTTGCGTCGGACAATGTCAAAGAGCTTAGGAACAGCATGGGACCCAAAAAAAAAAAAAAAAAAAAAAAATTAAAAAAAATACAAAATAAATATATAAAACTGAAAGTGGATCAACCGATTCAACTTTGTTGGAAATTGTTTAAACGATTTTGTCTTGTAAGTACTTAATGCTAAGTAAAATATAAAAGAGTAATAGAAACTTATGGTAAATATTGATTAATATTAAGTTTACCTTGTAGTTATCCATCTCTAAGAGGTGCGTCGCCTAAACATTCAAATTTTTAAGTTATTTTAATTATTGGAATTTCACTTCAACACTTTTTGCACTTGATTTTATTTTAATTTTTATGTTCGTTTTTTACACCGTTTTTGATGTAATATTTTGTCTTTGTTTATTATTATACGATCTCTGGTAATCTCTCGATAGCTTAGCAAGGAGTCGGTCAAGCACAGGCACAAAGACAAGCGCAGAGACAAAAGCTGCCGCCGGGGCCAAGGGGCAAGCCGCAAGCTCTCTCAAGTCTAGGCTCAGAAGCGCACAGCAAAGAGAGTGTGACAGACAGAGAGCGAGAGCGAGAGATAGAGACAGAGAGACAGCCACTAACTATGTATATACAATAAGCACAGAGTATATACCAAAAAAATGAGAGAGAAACAATATATAAGCACATAAGCACAAACAACAAAAGCGCGACAAGATCCACTTTTTTGGGACTGCAATGGGTTTTCATATAGGTTTTTTGTTTGTTGGGGTGGGGGTGGTATGGCTTGGGGTAGAGTACTGAAGCCATGATGTATTAAAAGTAATAAATAAAAGCTTACAAGCTACATTCCATACACGATACACGATAGAAGCAGAGTGTTAATGGGGTTTGTCTGCACTCTATATATATATATATATATATTTATTTACATATATAGATATAGATATTGATAATCATAGGCAGGTTGGTTGGGTTTTTGGATACTGACCTTGATACTGTCATAGCAAGCGGTAACCTTGCCGTTCTGCACCTCAACATTGGCCGGCGGATGGGCGAACTTGCATTCGGTGTCCTGGCGCGAACATTTGTTGCGCTGAAATTCGCGGCAGACCTCCAGCTGCAGCCAGCGCGAGTCCTTGCCATTCAGCAGGCTGTTCATATTAACAACGTTGGCCATCGCAGCAGCAATTCTTCAGTATTTTGTATATGTATATATGAATATATATATATATTTATAGCTATAGTTTTGTTTTAGCTGGGGGACTTTATAGATAGCTTAGCTGGCGACTAGAAATGTTGCGCGTTTTACTTTATGACGTTGGCTTCAACAAGTTTTGTTTCGGGTTACTTTTTGTTTCTTTTATGATAAACAGCTCTTAGCACAGATCAGCACCTATATATATAAGGTATACATATATATATTTAGCATAGATGTTTAGCGCTTTGCATGAGTTCTTGTTTTGTATATTGTTTTCTTTTTTTTTTTAATTGTTTACAAAGCTTGGGAATAGCTAATAGCTTGGGGTACTTGAAGCCTATCGTGGCTAAGAGTTGTATATATGTAGTTTAATTTTGATTCGAACAAACGTTTATATATAAATACGCTTTAACTTGAATATTGTTTGTAAGTTTAGCAGTTTTTGTTTTAATATTTAATTTGTTGTTCTTATTTTTGTGTGTATTTAAGCTTTTCTTTATTGAGCATACGCTGATTTTACATTATCTGAAATGAGAATAAGAAGAGAAATAGACGTTTAGGCTTATACCAAACACATGGGTTAACGCTGCATTTGCAAAGATCACAATTGACGAGAAACAGAGAGAGAGACAGAGTGAGAGAGACAGACAGAAGGACGGATTTAGTTGTGAGTGCGAGTGGGTGTTTGTTTGCGAGTGTGTGTGTGTATGCGATGGTTTTTGTTTTTAACTTGTTGTTAGTAGCGCGCGCATTTCTTGAGCTATTGTTAGTTGTTTTAATTTTATTTATATATGGGGATGCAATGAGCTGAATGAGTGTAAAATGCATTCAAGAGATTCATATCGTAATTTAATGCTAAACTTAAATTTTATTTTAAAAAAAAATTTTATACTTTGCTTTACTCAAATAAAAACTGTAAAAAATATATAAAAATATTATTAAAAAAAATTAATTTTTTTTATTTTAGCTGAAAAATATTTGTAAATTATCTGAATTAAATTTTAAGATTTTTAATATTATAATAATTAAAATAAAAATAAAATAAAATTTAAATTCCAATTTTCATATAATTTTATTTATTTAACTAGACATTTTTTAAAATGTAAGTAAAATTTCAAAAACTTGTATATTATATGAATTTCTTCAACTTTCGTTTATACAATTTGTAGTGTTATTCAATGGGTTTTCAAATGGCAATAAATATGGCATGATTACATATGTCTAGATATAGAGCGTGGCGAGCAACAGCCAAATATGCCAGGCAGGCAACAGTCAGCGATTGCCACAAATTTTCTTTTCTTTTGCTTCTTTTTTACATTTTCTATATCTCGAAAAAAAAAAAAAGAAAACTAAACCAAACCAAACCAAAAGCACGGCCCATAACAGCAGCAATGCACATTGACAAACTACAAATAAAATGCGCCAAGTTGTTTCATTACGCAAGAAATTATCATTATATTTGGCATAATTTTTTACGTCCCAGCGGCATTTTCTTATTTTCTTCTTATATCAAGAAAATACAAACTAAAAATAATGAATACAAAATGATAAAATTACTAACTTAAAATAGTATTGTCTCATATCATTGATAGCAAAAGCAACATAGAGAGCGAGAGAGAGAGAGAGAGAGTGACAGAGAATTGCCTCTACTTGCAAGTAGAGCAATTTATAGGCATATCATTTATCTATGATGATAGATAAAATCTCTAAAGATTTTTTTTTTTTTTTTTTTTATTTATTTATTTTATTTTGATCGTGCTTACTACGCATCTTTAGCAAAGCGAATAAAAAATTTAAACGCACTTACCGCTCGAATTGTGTTTTATTGTTAATTATATATATTAATATATATCATATACATATATGTATGTATATATAAGGTATTGCAAAATGTCTATAAATAATGACTGTAAAAAAATGTTAACGGTGCAGTTGTCATTCATGTATTAATAAATTCATATACATATACCTATATATATCTCTATATATGTATAATATATTTGCAAGTTTTTAATATTAGTCAAAACCGAGAAATGAAATTAGCAAAAAGATTAATATGATTCAATCATCGATGACGGCACGCAAATTTGCATTTGCAGTTGCGTCTGTTTTATTGTCTGGTTTGATTGTTTTCTCTCTCTTTTGTTTTGGCACTTCAATATTTATACTCATTCACATTTGTGAATGAGTATATTCGTTTTGTGCACTGTCCACATTGTTTTCCGTCCGTCTGTTCGTAAAAACTTTTTAGTATTTCCTCCATAGTAGTGACTTGAAATAAACTCCATTTAAAATATATACTAAAAATGTGTGATTAAGTATTCTGTAGTCGGTAACAACCAATTGCTACATTCTTACTTGTTAGTTCTTGTTAGTTATTGTGGTTTTCGCTTTTAACAATCTTATCTTATCAGCCATTGTATTGTAACGAAATCAAAAAATTTCATTCGGAAAAGTTCCATTTAAATATTGACTGTTTGTTAGTAGGAAAGATCCCTAGTTAAGCCAATAAGTTGGCCCATATAAAAATTATTTGAGCTTTTCTTTGTGCGAGTTGATGTAAGAGAAACGTTTTTAATTTCTACAAATATTTCTAAAATGTGCTTAAACTATATTTGAACTATTTATAAAAAGTTTAAAGTTAATTAAGTCTCCTCTAACACTCAATCAAACTCTAATCGGAAAAACCTTATCATCTGAATTGTAGACTTTCTAGTTTTTTTTACCGTATTTCCACATCGATTAAAGTTTGTTTTGGAATCATTTCCTTAATAAATTTTCATGAAATCTTCTTTTATAAATATAATTTCCATTCAAAAATTTATGATTCGCCCACGCACAACCCTGAACAACATGTGCAATAGCTAAAAAAAATCAGTTTTTGGTTATCCACCAAATGCCACAATATACATATAGTATATATCGCTATCTGGACGTTCACATGAGATATCAATTTTTATTTGTATTTGCCAGTCAAATACATACACAGAAATATAAATGCCAATACATTTGCACTACATTATCTATGGTTTCTTTATTTTTATTTTTTTTTTTAAGATAAAAAAAAACTGAAAAAAACGCATTTATAATTTTATAAGCTTTATAGTTGGTCAATGTATATATATATATATATATATATATGTATATATATATACATATGATGTCTGCATGATGTCAGCTGCAAATTGTTTTTCCGTATTTCAAGTTTATACTCAAAATAAAAAATAGAAAAAAAGAAGCAACAGTATTAAGTACAAATTTTAACTTAATTTATGAGCTGGATGTGTATGTGTGGGTTGCAGTTGATGTATTTAAATAATTCCCGTACAACCAATTCTATTTTTTAGTCTAACTAAAAAGTAAAAAAAAAAAACATAAGTATATATGGGAAAAAACTTTTAAACAACGCCAGCCAGCGCCCACACAAATAGAACCAGCGAAGCGGACGTGTTGAACATCGAATAGAATAAATATCTATCTCTCTCCTATATATATATATAGATATGGATACGGATTCGGATAGACAGATATATAGATACACAGCTAATGCTGCTGGGCATGTCATTGACGCAGTTCTGGATATACTGAGAAATTTATGGGCTGTTTCGGTGTGTGTGGAAAACGCTTACGAAAATAAACCTGCCTACAACTACTAAATAGTGTGCGAGCTTTTATGAATGTGGGCCAAGAATGATCGAAAAACGATATCGATGACTCGATGACAACAGCATCCGATGACCTACAAACAACCTCGAGGCTATATACATGGCCTTACATACATACACCTGAATTCAGGATATTAATTAATTGCTAATTGAGGCTGCGATTAAAAGCTGATTAATACATTACCCCAGAGGCACGAAGAAAAAAAAAACATTAAAGATTCGACGAAAAACAACAACAATAAATAAAAAAAGTAAAAACGAAACGCAATGATGCAAATTGCTTTAGAGCCAACAGATAACAACAAAAATGAAAGAAAACAAAATCAAAAACCAAAAACAAAAAGCAGACCAAACAAGTTCAACAAGTTTTAAGTCTTGTATTAAATTTGGTTTTTTGGTAATGCTTGCCTTTTGCTTTTCTTTTGTGTGTATTTTATTATCTTTTGAAGGTTAAACGGAGAGAGCGTATGAGATGGGAGAGAGTGAGAGAGAGAGAGTGAGAGCGGTAAAGAGTAGCTGAAACAGAAATCGAAAACTGTTAATTTTTATAGCTGTTAACACACACTCACTAAATATTTGCATTCACATATTCATATTCGTATTCATTTGTATTTATGTAAGCTGTTCCAATAAACAAAACAATACAAAACAAAAGGAAAATATAATAATAAAAAAAAAAAAAAAAAGCTACTGCTGCTGCGTCTGCTTAAAATTGAGTCGAAAATTGTTCCACATGCGAGAACAATTAACCGGCAACAATTACAAGTCGCTTCCACACACACATACACATATACATACGTATATGTATATATTTGTATATGAATTTGCATAACCTTAAAAATATCGCTAGAGATTGAGCTCAAGTTAATGTTTACATGAAAAATTATATATGCAAAGGATTTAGATCTCTATCTTTTATTTAATCATAGATAATAACTTGATTTACCATTCGATTATTTGATAAATCGATTTACTATCATCAATCAATTTTTCATTATCAATATTGAATTTTTCATTTATTTGAAGTATACGATATGAAATTCGGATTTTATTAATTCCTAACAGCAACTTTTTGGGATTTGCTTCAGAATAAAATTGTCGATAAATTTTAAGCCACATTAAACAGTCAAAATAATGACGAATGAGTTAAATCATAATAGATTTCATGTTCATTAATATTCAAATGCATTTGAACACAAATGCATTTTATATATCGATAGTACATTCGATAAATAATAAAATGAAATCAACTTTTTAAAAAAGTCGCCAACCAAATTTTTCTCTTAATTCCGATAATGAAGCCTGTTGTGATTAGACAAAATTTGTAAAATAATGAAATGATTTGAAATAATTTTTTTTGTAATGTTATCGATATACATAATTTTTATTGTTTGGAAAAAAATATTTTTGTTTAGTTCGATTACATATTTCTTATTTTACAATTATAAATCTTTAGTCATGCAATCGATAACATCTGCTGTTATTTTGTTATCGATAACATGTGTAAGCTATTTCACGCCGAATTTCGTTATTCAATTAGTTATTTCAGCTGCGACGCCTAACCCACATGCCCCACATTTTATAGCGCTGCGGAATGAAGAGTGCGCTACACTGATAAGGGACGCCGTCGTCATCGACGGGCCGCGACTGTTGGCAGCTTGCTGTGAAAAGTCATTATTTCATGTGTGCTTAATATTTGTGCTGTAGGTTTTTTTCTTTCCTCTTTTTTTTTTTTTTATTAGATATGCGACTCACTTGAAACGCACTCGCCAACTCGTGTATATATTTGTTGTTACAAGTAGAGTACATACTGCATATATGCATACACACACACACACACACACACATATATGTATATAT